CAGATACTATTGTACAGCACATCTCTAAACCAACTTTTATTCGCGACGACTTTATTTCGCACTTTACTGGGGGTAAACTAGTTCGCAAAGATTAATTTTCACGATCAAGCCTTCTTTGATCTGTTGTTAAGAGACACAGAGACTTTGAGGACTGTTTTGCGGCAAGAAATATTTGCGAACCCCACAAAAATTTCTCGCACACGAATAAAAGTTGGTTTATAGTATCCTTTGAAGATATTTGTTTTGATTCAGTTTTAATTTTTAACTTTTCATTAGGGATGTCAACGAATATTCGAGTACTCGACTATCGTTCGATCATACCGACTATTGACTAAAATTTCTTTAGTCGGTTATTCGTTAAAAATGCATTTGCAAGGCAATCAACTTTAATTTGTCCATTTCATTTATTTAGAGATCAATATTTTCGTATGTAAAATTAAGTATGTGGTTTAACTGTTCAAAGGAAATCCTTGTACGTCGATGTATGTTCGGCAAACATGTCTTCAAAATCTTTTATTTTTTTATAGTTTAAAAAAAGAAACAGTGTTATCAAGATTATGCGAAACAGAACTTGTATTTTGCAGCGTAACATCAAACATGATGTATGCTGAATCAGTCAAACACACACAGTCTTCAAGTGAAATTTTCCCAAAGTTAGTTCTCCAAAAAAATGCCAAAAAAGCAAAGTGGGAAAGAAAATCAAACATGTTTATTAATAATTGTTTACCTCTTACAGTTTTAAATGGAGAGGGCAATTGTTTACTTTTGTAGATTCAAACTAAGATCTGACATGATACAACTATTCAGAAAGAATATCAATTAAAATGGAGAGGGCAATTGTTTAATTTTGTAGATTCAAACCAAGATCTGACATGATACAACTATTCAGAAAGAATATCAATTAAACAGTTATTACAAAATTTTAAATACATGTAAATTGGGGTCAGTTATGAGCGTAATTAAGCCGTGTTTTCTTTTTCCGATATTAATTCCATACAATCATTGATTGTTTGCACTAAATTTCATAATTAAAATTTATCCCAAGCCCTCACTTTCACTTTGTTTTTATAAGAGACACGCTTTAATTGTTTACCAGTCAAAGATCATTGACAGACACGTAGAAATGGCTTCAAGTATGGGGTACATGTACTACCGTTACGTAAAAAAAAAGGGCAAATGCGAGTGTTTGAAATCCTGCATATAATGTGCAGCTAATACATTAATTTTTAAATTAAATACATTGGATAAATATTGATATACAGTTTTTATTGTACTACGTAAATGTTAAAATTTACAATTCAGAAATCTGTTGTATAATAGTGATAGCATAGGTTAAATATTGTAAACTAGTCTGTAAAAAGACAAACAGTGAAAATGACATGAGAAATTAATTTAAATTAAACGAATATTTGACTATCGTTCGACTAAAGCATCCGACTATTCGACTAAGCTGTCCGAATAAAATTGACATCCCTACTTTTCATCCTTCTAACCATATGTACTTTTTTTGGTTTATTTCACCATCTCCTCAACAATTGTCTGTTTTAACTAAAACCCAATACCTGTCGTTAAAATTAACCTAAATGGAGAATGTCTGTACTTAATATTAATCATATATTTATAAATAGAACCTTCACCTCTCTGTGGGGCGTGTCTGTATTCCTGTTCCTCTATCTCTCTCATCTCCTGTAACAGGCTCCCCATGTGGAAAGTCTGTGGTGCCATGTTTATTCTCTGCCCTGTCAGAAACTCATCCACTAACTGTAACAGTATTTATCAAATTCTCTTTAAGATGATGCCTGATATGATTTGACACATGATTACAAAAAGTCAACTGAGCACAAATATGTATTTTTTTTTGTTCTAATAACCAATAATTAACAAATATTCAAGAGTCAAGAATGTGCTTTGTTAGTTTTACACCTTATTTTTAATTTCTTAAAAAAATTACATTAAATTATTTGTAAATGCTGTACATTTTCATTGTCTTTGAGGAAATCATTTTACTAATTTGTATCTTTTCAACTGTTCTCTGTATAAAGAAAATACACACCTCTCGTTCTGTGGCCTCTTGAATTGGTCGCCCATGCTAAAACAAACATTAAAAAAATGTATTTATTCTGTCAATTTTATTTTACACTATCTGAATTCAATGAGATAACTGATATGCAAGGACATCACTTTTATTTTTTTGAATTGATCTTAAAACTGTAAAAATGGACAATTGTAATAAAATTTTCAGTTTATTTCTTGAATCCAAAGTGATCCTAAATCTTACCACAAGACCTTGATTCTGTCTTTGTCCATGAAAAAATCCTTCCTACAAAAAGAAGGCATCAGATTGCTGTAGTGTTAGATGGAAAAGTAATATTGAGTAATTTAAGTGCTCAACACCAGGATCACACATGGCTGCATGAAGTAGTTTCAGACACAAAATTAGAAGTTAACATATCATTCATCATGACACATGTATCATATACATATAATAATTACACTGTGGTTTCATTTACTTACACAGGAAGCAAATTTCATTGTTTTGGTGAAAATACACATCGTTAAAGTTATGGACATCTACCTTGCCCTATCATACTGTAAAAAAAGAAAACTTGGCGCATACGTATTTTAGCATAAACGCGAGTGGGAATGCATTAGTGCAAATAAATTTTAGGGCTTGCACTTGTCATTTTTTTATCCACGCCCGTATTTGACTTATGGTTTTCAAACACTGAAACACAATAGCACTCCTGTGTATAAGTATACATCCGTCAACTTTACCGTGGTGTTGCAATCACATAGACGTGCATGGCACAATGTTAAATTTTATTTTAATCTTAAAAGAAATGGAGTATTTACGCATTTTATTCATATTAAAAGAATGCATGCATCGAAAGAAAGTTATTTGGATAAACGGTAATGATAATCAGGTATTGTCTCCAAGCTCAAGCATGGTGCTTGATTGCATTGTTTACCTCAAGGCAATAGATGATTGATACACCGAGAAGCCAAACTTTGAAGGTGCTAATGATGAGTAATTGAGTATCCGGTAACAACTAACAATAGTTTAATTAAATTATAATTTGGCAGAACTTTCTTGATCGATCCTACCATGTACAGTGCTAGTGTTAGTGTATATATATAAAATCCAACGACTCTTCGACATTATGTAGTCGAGCGTTCCGGTTTACATGTACTTATGTGAAAGCTTTCAACACATGCAAAAAATAATATTTAGAAATCTGTTAGAGCACAATTAATTTTAGCGTTCATGGGCTCTTGCACCAAAGGCACTAAAAGTAGTGCGCCAAATATTCTCGTTTTACAGTATGATGAGTACAATCTTTCAAAAGTCAATTATTTTGTGGGCCTGGTTCATCCGTAAAAATAAGAGTTGGTTTTTTACAAAATATGACGATAGCATAATTGTTTATCATTCTATTCTTTTTAAGAATTAAATGTTAATAAAACTTGAATGCCTTAAAAGGCTGCTGTTCTACCTGCCTCCTTGCTTTGTCTTGGGTGTAGTGAGATGTCAGTTTTACCTGTCTCCCAGCTTTGTCTTGGGTGTAGTGAGATGTCAGTTTTACCTGTCTCCCAGCTTTGTCTTGGGTGTAGTGAGATGTCAGTTTTACCTGTATCCAAGCTTTGTCTTGGGTGTAGTGAGATGTCAGTTTTACCTGTCTCCCAGCTTTGTCTTGGGTGTAGTGAGATGTCAGTTTTACCTGTCTCCTGGCTTTATCTTGGGTGTAGTGAGATGTCAGTTTTACCTGTCTCCTGGCTTTGTCTTGGGTGTAGTGAGATGTCAGTTTTACCTGTCCCCTGGCCTTGTCTTGGGTGTAGTGAGATGTCAGTTTTACCTGTCTCCCAGCTTTGTCTTGGGTGTACCCGGTGTAGTGAGATGTCAGTTTTACCTGTCCCCTGGCCTTGTCTTGGGTGTAGTGAGATGTCAGTTTTACCTGTCTCCCAGCTTTATCTTGGGTGTAGTGAGATGTCAGTTTTACCTGTCTCCCAGCTTTGTCTTGGGTGTAGTGAGATGTCAGTTTTACCTGTCTCCTGGCTTTGTCTTGGGTGTAGTGAGATGTCAGTTTTACCTGTCTCCTGGCTTTGTCTTGGGTGTAGTGAGATGTCAGTTTTACCTGTCTCCTGGCTTTGTCTTGGGTGTAGTGAGATGTCAGTTTTACCTGTCTCCCAGCTTTGTCTTGGGTGTAGTGAGATGTCAGTTTTACCTGTCTCCTGGCCTTGTCTTGGGTGTAGTGAGATGTCAGTTTTACCTGTCTCCTGGCTTTGTCTTGGGTGTAGTGAGATGTCAGTTTTACCTGTCTCCCGGCTTTGTCTTGGGTGTAGTGAGATGTCAGTTTTACCTGTCTCCCAGCTTTGTCTTGGGTGTAGTGAGATGTCAGTTTTACCTGTCTCCCAGCTTTGTCTTGGGTGTAGTGAGATGTCAGTTTTACCTGTCTCCTGGCCTTGTCTTGGGTGTAGTGAGATGTCAGTTTTACCTGTCTCCCAGCTTTGTCTTGGGTGTAGTGAGATGTCAGTTTTACCTGTCTCCCAGCTTTGTCTTGGGTGTAGTGAGATGTCAGTTTTACCAGTCTCCTGGCTTTGTCTTGGGTGTAGTGAGATGTCAGTTTTACCTGTCTCCTGGCCTTGTCTTGGGTGTAGTGAGATGTCAGTTTTACCTGTCTCCTGGCTTTGTCTTGGGTGTAGTGAGATGTCAGTTTTACCTGTCTCCTGGCTTTGTCTTGGGTGTAGTGAGATGTCAGTTTTACCTGTCTTCTGGCTTTGTCTTGGGTGTAGTGAGATGTTAGTTTCATCAGGGAATTGGTCCCACCACACTCCCCTTCAACCAGGTTTCTCATTGCCATGTTTACAAGCAAGTCTTATCTACAAAAAACAAGATAATTTTTAATCATGTTAATGTTCAGCCTTTTATTTTTCATTTTTTCTTTGCTAAAACATAATCTATGGCAATCTAGTCCACATTGTCTCAAGCCACAGTTCGGAGTCCACATATTGTACTCTCCTACCCTTGGCTGCTTGATCACATAAATTGTATTTACGCTTCTGTTCTGTGACGTCATGTTCAGCCAATGACAATATTTGTTTCCGTCACAATTGAAATCAACATTGACATCATCAGCATGATCAGTACACAAAAACATTTCAAAACTGCAGTTGGGTATTGAAAGGTTCATTTTCCAACTATGCTTTACTCGCATTGGTCAATATTTTAATGAAGAACGAAATAGTCTCTTCTTATTCAACCACAGCCGAAATGGGAGAGGATCCTACATTTTGGCCGTGGTTTATGACGATGTCTAGTCAATTAACTATTTCTAACCATGTTATATAATGATGTAGCTTTTGATAAGTACCTAGGTATTCAAACCTATTTGTACTTGAAGTAGCTTATTCTACCTACTTTTACTTGTCTTTGAAAGGAAAATTAAAATAATCATATGCCAGATCATATGCCACTTCTTTAAAACTGGTTGAACTTGTTCAGAATCTGTATTTGCACAGAAAAAAATCAGAGTGCTCATTTGAAAACTAAGGATGGAGAAAGGAGAATGCTTGAACAAGTTGAAGCTGAAAAGTATTTTAAAAATTTATATAGATTTTTAACTTTAAACTTAGTTTTGATCACAGGGTCTTGATACGATCTAAGCAAAATCGGGAATATAGTATAATATATAACACTTTATACCCGATTTGTCTCGAGATTGTCTCAAGACCCTGTGGTTTGATCTTTTGCAATAAAATGAAGTTGGGTGTAGTGTAGTTTTTGAATTGATGCAAAAAATTTTAGTTAGAAAGGAAGCATATTTATGTCTAAATTTTGGTAGTTATGTAGCAAAAAAATATGCAGTGATTGTAAACTGAACCCTATAACATACAGTGATATATTTATAACTGCAAAGTATGTTGCAATAAACCCTGCCAAAACAACAGAGAAAACTCGAGCAAAACGATCCTAACATCATAATCGTTACACAACATACTCTTCTTATGCACATATACTTATAACATTAAAAATAAATTAATTACCTCTTAATCATAATTTAAATTAGAAACAGCCAACATATCTGTCATTCTATGCTTTTGATCACAAAAATAAACTTGTCGTCCAACATATTAACACTAAATTACTGCCCTTTGTACACCATATGATGACGCGTTATCCTGTCAGAGTTATCGT